CACACATACACACACACACACACATACACACACACACACACACACACACATACATAATGCGATGCATTGCTGATTTTGATCATAATTAGCAAGAAACACCATCTCAAATAAATACAAGTATACTATATTGGAAGATAATTGATACTGTATAATAATTTAATTGGGCTGTAGGATATTGGACTTTCTTTGTTAAGGTCTATGATCCATCATTAGAACTGCATTGTTTTTTTTTGTACAGCTCAAAAACAATGACACAAACAGTTCAACATAGTTTTGTTCTGTCAAGCACTCTAAAAAATTAAGTATAAGTGATTTCCTTAAGTTTGTTTTTAATTATGTTTTTTTAAGGACACTTAAACTGGCCATTCAGTTTCTGCTAGGTTGCAAAAGCAAACAAACGCTGCCTAAACTTCAAGTCAAACCTGCTGCAAGTGAAAACGGCACACTGGATGTTTTTCTTGTCACTAAATCAATGAAGCCTGAGATGACAGAAACTTGGCTGTGAACATCTAGTTGGTGCACCCAGGTTTATTTCAACATACGAGAGAATTCTAAGGAGTTTGGTTACACCCTACAGGTAAAATAAAGTTACTTCCTTCTTTCATCCATCCCAGCTGGCAGGACCAAGTCTTGAACAGGCAACAAGTACTGCTACAAATAAAACAGGTTTTACTCACGCTGGGTTAAAACTACTTTCCATGTAATACACAAGTGGACCAGTTCAGACTTTTCTCATTTGCACTCATAACTGTTCATGAAAGATCCTCATAGAAAGAGTGTAAATTACAAAAGATATAATAAAACGAACAAAGTTTGTGAAGGACTAATGAGTAAATCTGGGCTGACTCAGTTTTCAACTTTTCACTTTCACACAACTCACCAGACTCTTGCATAAGAAGTGCTGAATTGAAAAGGGCTAGCTTGTGGCGTGGGTTAAGCTCCAGTGCATGGTTAAAGTTTTTCAGCGCCTCGGATGAGTCCTTCATTTCAATGTTGACGATAGCCAGATTGTACCACAGGTCTGCATTGGCACCATCAAGCTCCAAGGCTCGAAGGTAGGCATCACGCGCTTCTGTCAGCTTGTTCATCTTCAGCAGCAGCTCCCCTCTGTGCAAAAATGAGAAAAAATATCAGTATTTAATTTGAACCACCAGAAAGTACAGACAAATTATGAGAAATGCTTTTCATGTCATATTGCCTGCTGATGTAGGCCTGTTTGAAGTCTGGTCTCATGCTGATGGCTTGTCTGTAAAGCTGATCAGCTTCCTCCAGCCGTGAGTCATTGGCCCGGATCAGATTTGCCAGATTTATGTAAACATTGAGATGATTTGGGGCAACGCGTGTAGCATACTTCTTCCCTGGAATAACCTGAAGAGTTTTTAACAGACATACCATTTACTCTTAAAGCTATAGTTATATTAAAAATAAGAAAACACACACACACACACACTTAAAGTATGCTTGCTGTAAATGTAATACTGATAGTGGTAACAGTTGGATGCCAATATTAGCTTTAAATGCTAGAATGCTAAACTGTAATTAGGAGGGTGAGGCAGCTACTATACAGCAATCTAAAAAAATCCAATAGCAAATTCATGCTAAAACTCGGTCCGAGGTGGAGTCCGTACTTGGTAATAATTTGGTGCATGCAGCATCGTATTTTAGTTGACATGCTCTACAGGCACCACAGAAACAACAGCTACAAACATATCAAAACAGAAACAATAAACAACTTCATCTGAACAATGAGTCAGTACGTTTTCTGGAGGCGCAAACCTACAAAATTATTTAAATGTAATGAACTGCATGTAATACAGTGAAATACCTGTGGCATGAGCGATTTGGCAACCAAATAGGCTTCTTCTGCCTCTTTGGACCTGTTGAGGTTCTTGTAGGTTCTTCCAACATTCATGTGAGCACCAATGTCATCTGCAACAAAGGTGAAAAAGGGAAGTTTCAGGGATTTTGAAGAAGTGACGTTCTGTGCAAAAGTTACAAAGAATCACTGATAATTAGGGATGCACTGTTTAGAGGTGCATCCCCCAGGTGGTGGATTGGGGATCTCTGGTCTTGGTGTATAGGGCTGTGCCTAAATAAGCTGAAAAGCCAATAGGGTGCTGTGAACAAAAAGCAATCAGGCAGGCGGGGCTCAATAGCCCTGACAGGCAACCCACCTAGGAGAAAGGAAACTGATGTAAAACCCGGGCACCGTCAACATTTGTCAGTGGTCTATTCCTGGTGGATGGCAAGTTGACAAGAACTTTAAACTGAGAGGACAAGGGACCGGCCCTCAGTACCCAGCAAAATTTCCGGGAACCCAACCTGCGGCACATTAGGCACAGATATCGCAGGTGGTCTTATAACCGTGTCTCTGGTATTTCTGGTGAGGAATCAGGCTGGACAGGTCAGCCAGCAGTACAGTGACTGGAACAACTTCTACTCCGGCCATGGGACCTGATGCCTATGTGTCAGGCAGCGCGAATGTAGCACATTGACTGCACCCCATCAGGGAGTGGTTGGGGCCTCATAAGTGTTGGGATCTCAAGGTGATGAGGACATTGGCGTGGTTGGAGAAAGAGAGTCCTAGTCTCATTGGTTTTGGGGATGATGGAATTTACACGGAGCAACTTGCATCACTGTAAAGATGCCTGTACATTAACGTGTACCTGTCTAAGCAGGATACATACAGGTATAGCCTTTATCCAGAAAGCTCGGATAGTTAAGTCTATGAAACGTGGCCTGGGATATTCTGGGGGCACACTTCTATATGATGTGAGTAGCCACAGACCCAGAGCAGCAGTTGCCTTGACAAGAGGTGTGAGATACACTGCACTGTCCCACCTAACAACAGGTGGTGCTGTAGCAGTGCAGTTGGACTTTCAGTCAAATGGCGAATCCAGACAATCATTGCAACCTCTGTTTATCTTTCATTTGAATCACAGCAGTTACCTCAATCACAAAATTTTATAGCAATAGCCAATTACGCTAAAGGGAAGGACCTCCCGGTACTTATTGGTTGTGAAGCCAATTTCCATCGTGTGCTGGGGGCGCACACATGATGGGACTTGGCTCTGCTGACAGAAGACCTGCTCGTCTTTAAGCAGGGCAATGTACCTGCCTTCAAAACTGTTAATAGGGAGGAGGCCTATGGACTTGGTAAAAAAATATGGGACTGGGAAGTGTCCCCAGAGAAATCTATTTTAGACCATCGACAAAGTCAGTTTAAGCTGAGTGGAGAAACCACACCCTGTTACTTACAGAAACCAAAAAATATATACTGGAATCTGTTTATCAGTGGTCTATTACAGTTGATGGGTGGGAGAATTGCCAGGATTAAGCCTGTGTGATCCTGTGCAAACTGTCTGTAAGTATTCCTGTTAGAAGAAAGTCTGGAGGCCATCAAAGCAGCCGGCCTGGTGGACTCCAGAATTGTCTGGCCTCTGCAAGGCAGTAAAAGGAAAATGAAGATACAGAGTCCAACAAAGCAAAACCAGATTATGCATGATTTCCAAAATCACCATAAAAGTGTTCTAAAGGAGTGTAAAAAATTTTCTCGGGCAAAGTTTTGTGAAGATGTGAAAGGGCCTAGTGCTTCTTCTAAGCTTTACAAACTTTTCAGAAAGGATCCAGTCAACGTTCTATCCTTTAGTATTCCACCAGTAGGACTGACAGTCACACAAGCAAGTGTACTTCAGCATCTTCTCCAGGTACACCTTCCTGGGGCAGAAGAAACTTCACAGCCTATCAGTCGCTAACTCAAATCCAGAGTACAACTGGAGCCGAGCTGCATGTATTATTACTAGAGGCAAAGTAAAATAGGCAGTTAATATACATATTTGGCCCATTTAAAGCTTGTGGTCCACATGGCATTTTCCCAGTTCGCTCTAAAATTAAAATTGCTTAAGGACAGAATACCTACAATATGCTGTGTGTTGCTTGTCTAGCAAATGGCTATTTACCAGTTGAGTGGAGGACAGCAAATGTTGTCTTTCTGCCAAAAACTGGCAAGCGCATATATAGAAGCAAAATATTTCAGACCCATCAGCTTAACATACTTCTTGTTGGAGGGAATGAAGAGATTGATAGATCATCATGTAAGGGATGGTATTTAAGTCCTAAAAACATGAATATCAAGCAGGTCTTTTTACAGAAACAGCCTTACATAATGTTTTCAGAATAGAATGCAGTCTGGCATTGAATATGTGCTTGGCTGTTTCTTGGACATTCAGGGGGCATTTGACAATGTACCTGTAGAAGCTATAGAGAGAACATTTGCCATCAAAGGCGTGGATGAGACCACTACAAATTGGCTTGTTTTCATGCTTTGGACAAGGAAAGCATCGTCAACTCTGGGGGACTGTTAACGTTAACCTCAGCCAAGGCTGTCCACAGGGAGGAGTAATCTCACCTGTGTTGGCTCCTGGTTGTCGACAGCCTACTAAGTGAGTTGAACAGATTAGACTCCATACACAAGTGTATGCAGATGACTTGGTCATACTTATGGAAGGCTTCTGTCTGGGTACTGTATGTAACCTAATGCAAAGGGGACTAAACTTCTAACACACCTGATTTGAATGAATGGATGATTTTCAGGCTTCTACAGAACTAATTCACTGACTGAATCAGGTGTGTTAGAGAAGGGAAAAAAGTAAAACATACATGGCTGCGGACCTCGAGGACCGGATTGACTATCCCTGATTTAGATGGTGCCAGGAGCAGGAACTTTCAGTCAATCCTAACAAGGCATAATCAGTTCTTTTCACTCATAAAAAGTCAAAGAAGTGTTACTTATCTCTAAAGTTTGAGGGTATAGAATGTTCCTTGTCAGAGTCAGTTTAATTTTTGGTTGTAGATTTACCACCATACGATTCACCAGTTTTTATGTAAYTGTGCTGAAAGATCATGTGAAACCAGAATTATTAAATAATTCACCCAAARTCTTGTTTTCTGAATTATCATATTTGAAGTTGGTGGCTGCAGTAAACTCCCTCCATCTGCTCTCAGCTTTTATCCTCCACCTCTGCTGAAAAAGAAAAGTCCCGACACAGCCAAAACTTAAATGATCAAATATATACAAATCTATAGTAAGAAGAGGAAAACATATGACAGTTAAATGCGGTTCAGCAGTGGATAATAATGACTCCTTGAGGATGGAGAACTGAGCCGAGCTAACCGCCCCCGAAATCTGTTCAACTGTTGTGGTTTTTTTTCTTTCCATTTTTACATATTTGATAAATAAATTTGGGCTTTACTGAGAAAGGAAGCGGAGGGGTGTTATTTTAATTATGCAGAGGTGAGGGGTAAAACTCAAAGAGCAGATGACGATATTTAATTTATTTAAGCCACCAGCTTTAAATATGACGAGTATGTTCGGAAAAAAAAGTGACGTGAATAACTCCGGTTTTWCTTGACTGTCAGTACAATTCAAAAACTGTTCCGAAACACAAATCATGTAGCAAACTGTCCTGGGGATTAAATTGATTCAGAGGATTTTCTGAAACAATACTGAATTGCAAAATAAATAAACAAACAAACAAATAAATAAATATACACACACTATATTATAGAACTAATTCACTGACTGAATAAGGTGTGTTAGAGAAGGGAAAAAAGTAAAACATACATGGTGTAGGGGTCACCTCGAGTGAAGAAACAAGATTTACTGCCTCGAATCAGGCCTCGGACAGGCTTACTGACAAGGCAGGAACTCTGTCACAAACTGAACTCTATTTAGGCCATGACAGGTCATTTCAACCTAAAAGAGAATTTCTCAGTTCTCTTAATCAGATAATGGACAGAACAATCTTTTCTGTTCATGATTCATTTGGTGTTTAACTAAGAATGTTTATGCATTTGTTAAATCATAATAATGGCTGTCACAAGAAAGTGGAATCACTTCTACTCTTTTATCGTGCCTAAAAGATTAATTAATGGTATAAAAAAATCACAGAGAAAATCATTACCATGTTTTCATTGTGTTTTATATAAATCACTGTCTTTATTTTACTGGGAACACAGTAATATAATTGTGAGTTTTTCTTGAGAAAATCTTTCATTTATCTGGACTAACAGAATGGTTCAGACTGATTACTTAAACAGAAATGTTRATTAATCATCATAAATGTTTTGCAGTGATTTCTCTTAGAGTCTATCAGAAGAAAAAGCTAAAGAAAGGTTATCATATTCTGTTGTGACAACCACAGAATTTTAGCCTTGAGCTGGCGCTGCTGGCAAATCTATCTTTCTTCTTTTCCCTGACTCATCTTTACGCCCGAGGGCGGAACAAAAGTCGTCCGCTTCCATTACTAACACGGACGCCTTTGAGTGAGGGAACACTTCTTCCTGGATGCCAAACTRGGAAGGAAGGCTGAGTTTCTCTCTGGAGAAGCCAGCTTGGCTCGTTAGGTCTTGCCCATAAGCCAATTAGGGAGATCTAACGGTCGGGACAGCGGCACGCCGCCGAATGTCCCACCCGAGACTTCAAGTCTCCAAGTGTTTTTCAACTCCCAAGGGGAGATTTTATTTTGAAAGGAGGAACCGGATGCATCAGCTTGAATCTTTCTGGCGAGGATCAAAACAGAAGAAAAGTTGCCTAAAATAACACCTTTTCGCTGAGGAACAGTGAGCAGGCCGATTAAAAAGTTCCCTGACTGATCGGAGGTGAAGAAGTGACTACCCAGGGTTTGCTTAAGAAGCCGGCACCAGGTAAAACTGACGTGTTCCGGGTGACGTGTCATGTGGAAATCCTAAGCCCAGAAGGGACGTGCTGATCCGGTTGTACCACACACTTGACAAAATAAGAGTAGTAGAACACGAATCTTATTTTCATCCTTTCCTTTGTTCTTTAATTGCCAAAACTTAAGCTAACAGTGCCAGTAAAATTGCTTGGTTGTTAACATCAGAACTGACGTTTTACTGTTCTATATAAG